CTCCTTTTCAGGAGGATGCTCCCATATCCCCAGGTTCACCCATGGCACTGGCTGCCACATGGAAAAATTGAGGACTGTCCCCAGTTTCACTCTACAGCCCAAGCCAGTAGTGAAACATTTTCCACCTCTAAACCCCACACTGCTCCTCTGGAATCTTACACTCAGACCTGAAGGAAGTGAAAGCACCAAGGAACAGAAAGGACACTTCAGTACACCAAGATATGCTGCAATTCCAGGCCATTTTCTTAAGTGATAAATGGGCCTATTATTAATTCAATAGATTGCTCAGCCTCCAAAAATATGAGTTACAATGCCCATTCACACACTATCTGTTATCCTCATTAACTTAAGTTGACCACATTTTATGGCCTTTAAAATGGGTCAGTTCCCAGAGGATTCCCACTACAAAACTGATTTACATTCTAAAGTAACAGCAGAGAGGAAAAAAAAATTTAAAAAAATCAGTCACCAGCAGGGAATGATGGTGTTCTTTAACTCCATTAAAGGAGCCAACTAATTATTTTGCTTGAAGATAAATATTCATTACGTATTAAACCTCATTATTATGTTGCAAATTAAAAACGAGAGAAAATAAAAGAATTAAGATAAATTAATACGAATTAATCAGGGAAATGAAACTCAAGTACACCTTGTGTCAGTGCAGATCATTAGCAAGGTGCACATCACCACACTGGTGCTTTTTTCTCACCCTGTTTGAAGTACTACCCAGAAAATACAGTTAACAGCACCTTTGGCTACATTTACCTATAAAACATGAACATAAAAATAATGAAGAAATAACTCTGTACTTTTAATTCTCTGATCTTCCCACAGGAAAAATATATTGAAGTTCCAGAGAAGAATGTAAGATACTTTTAAGCATCTCTATACTCTCATTGACATTTAACTACAACTACAGATAATTCAAGAGATTTAAAATACAGTGAACTACTGTCTGGGCTGCACATTTGTCTCCAGGAACACCCAGCAGCTTTTGAATTTGCTGACATGGCCAATGCTGGCTTCTCCAGCTACTGTGACACTGTGTTCCTCTGAAAACACTCAGCACAGTTGTAGCTACTCAAGTTACACACACAACACGAGTTCCTCCATAAAATATTTTAATAAGCCCAGTTTCTGGTAGCACACACTTGCACAGAAGCATCTTCCTGTATTTATTTTTATTTTACAACAATGGTGATGTGACCAAAGAAGGATGTAGGTATTTCTTTAGAATTTCATATTATATTTTGCCTATGAAATATTTCACATAATCTTGCAAATGCACTTGCAGTGAGTCAGTCACCAGCCACCCTCCACTAGCCCAGGCTGCTCCAAGCCCTGTCCAACCTGGCCTTGGACACTTCCAGGGATGGGGCAGCCACAGCTTCTCTGGGAAATCATTACAGGGCCTCCCGACCCTCACTGTAGAGAATATCTTTCTAATATCTAATAATAAATATGACTGGGAGAGTGTTTGTCATTCTGTGCTACAAGGTGCCAGGAGCGTTGAGGTGAAAGCTCAGCTCACCCCAGACCCTGCACTGAGCACCCCAAATCCCAGGGAACACTCAGCACCCCAAACCCTGGACAGCAGCAATTTAAACAGTAACAGTGCACAGCAAACTAGAGTGCCTGGGGCATTCCCATGACATGGCTGCACACATTGTCACCCAGACAGTCCTGTGCCATCCCTCAAGGCACAAATCCCCCCCAGAACTCCAGCTTTGAGAAGAGCCTGGGTAATTGGGGATAAAATAAATGAACTGTTTCACTCCAGAAGATAGAGACAGGCTTCTTGCACTCTTAACCTGCACTTCATGGCAGACTGCAGCTTAAAGTGTGTGCTGCAGCAAAGAGCATATTACTGATGGTATCAGAGCCCATGAGCAGAGTCAGACTGACACTGCACAAAGGACAGCAAGTGTACTTGCTACAGGACACCACTGACACCCCCACTAGACTGAACTGTGAGACACAAAGTTTTTACAGAAGCTGAATACTCACACACTCAGTAAGAGACACTGTCAAATATTAGTTTTAATGTTACCATATCTAGATCTAAGGCAGCCAAATCAATAGCAGTCTGGAGATCTGAGACTGATTAACAGACACGTGGCTTCTCAGCACAACAAACAGTTTTGTTCCAGCTCCATTAACAACATCCAAGATGAAAGTTAAAAGAGATCTCCCCGTGTCCCCAGGCACAGTACTGGGGCACAGTGTCAGGCTGCACTATGGAAAAGCAATCCTAATATTCCAGCTGCTGACAGCATGTGCACATCAACCTGGAAAGGACTGAGCTACTCTCTATAAGCAACACTCTGTGTTATCATCTATATGTGCACCTGGCTGTATCATAAGTTTTGTGAAGAAGCAGAAGGAACCCTGGGCATTAAGGTTGGTGACAACTAAGCTGAAAACCTTTATCCTTCAAGCTTGGCTAAGCACACTCATGTTTCTTCTCCTGCCTACAAGCCTTCACACTGTGTGGCACTGCAAAGGCTCGGAGGAAGGAGGCTTTTCCTCCCAGACATGGCCACTAAAAGCAATGAAATGGGAGATGGGGGTGTAAATAAAATATTCAGGATAGAAGGCTGTCATTGCCTGACTCAGGAATGCTCAACTCAGCCGTGACTGTTAGGCTTTTGAAACTCAAGTAAGCATAATTTTAGAAAGAATGACCTAATCATCATCATCATCATTTACCCATCTAGATTAAATTTACATAGCTACTGCTGTTACGAGAGCAGCCATAGGTATAATTGAAATCAAGGCAATTTTGCTGCAATTTTATAGAATACTTTACAATAAGCTTTCTGCTGTAAAAGAGAAAGAATTTGCTGAAACCAGCAATAGATTTAAATACATATGAGAAAAAAAATCTGTCTTACCACAATCATTTCTGAAGGCTCCAATATGATACATTCGCATCCTCGCTTTCCTCCAGACTGCTTGCCAAAACTAGAGTGGGATGGGGGAAAAGCAAACAAAAAAGAATGAGAAGAACAGCTATTTTACCTTTTCAGTAACCAAAATAATTGGCAATGGTGCACGTTGTTTAAAAAAAAAAAAAAGGACAAAAAAATTGATGAAAACTATTGTGTGAAAAATTCCAACCAGATAGTATCATCAACATAATTTTTTAATTTATTCAGCACTGCTCATCATGATCTGCTATGTAATGCCTAAATATAAAGAATGTTCTTTTGTAAAATCCGTTATTACTTACAGATAGTCAAAATCACTTATAATACATTTCAGTTCTGAGAAGAAAACATTAGTAAATTTTAATTAAACATTAAATAGGCTTTGTAAAAACAACTATACGTAAATTCCAAGGACTCCAAAATATTACTTCACACGCAGCATTTTTAACAAGAGTTCCCTCAACTCCATGTCACCTCTTCATCCTCCCAGGAAAGGGAAGGACAGAGAATCTCTTGTCTAACATTGGGCCTTAACTTGTGACCTCTGCCTTTGTGTGAGTTATTGTGCCATCACAAGGTGATGGTATCACCGTGATGGGCTCTCTTTTAACAAGTGTGAAAAACCACAAACACGACCAAGTGTGATGGGCAGTGTAATACAGCACCTAAGGAGAGCAGCTAAAGGCAACCTGATGTGCTTCAGCTCATCAGCTTTAATAGACACCTTCCTTCAGGACACCCACCACCAGAGGTGGCTTTAGGGAATCACCTCTGGAGAAGGCACCATGCCAGCAGAGCTGAGCTGGACACTGCTGGGGGACACGGGGTGTGTCACAGACCAGTGACCTCTGAACTCACTCCAGCTGTGCCTGCAGTGGCACCTGCCATTGAGAATACTTGGCTGCACATATTGAGTTTGTCCTCACTCCAGGCCCACTGGCCTGAGGTGGGTTTGCTCGACCCCCCCGCTCCCTGAGCCCACAGGAAAGCCATGCCAGGCCCGTGTCCCATGGAACAGCCCCCGTGATGAGCAGAGGGGGGCTGGACTGAGCCCTGCATTAGCAGTTCAGCAGTTGTAGCTGCTGTTACAAACTCGGGCTGTCAACATCAATCACGTTTTAACACCTACCAGCAGGTGAGACAACTGAAGAGTCAGTTAACGAAGAGCAGGGATTAATGTGTGAATTAGAAGGGAGTTCAGACAAGTGTGGAGACAAATCCTTAAAAAGTGGGTCGGCTCCATCTGCTTTCAGTGAGGTTATGTTTGGAAAGTACATCTGAAACTCCAGTCACACAAGATTTGAGCCATGGTCACCTTGATGGCAAAGATCTGTGAAACACCACCTTGGACAAAACATTTAAAAGACTCGTGCTTGTAAACTGCGTGTCAGGGGAGCACTCCCAAACTTCTGCAGGATACATGCTCTTACAGGGAAAGAACTAAACTAGACTAAAGCTGAAGGAGGGAATGTTTAGATATTAGGAAGATATTCTCTAAAACGAGGGTGGGGAGGCCCTGGCACAGGTTGCCCAGAGAAGCTGTGGCTGCCCC